GCCACCGTGTTATACCAGGCTGGAATGAGTGCTTCAAGGAAGTACACGACTTTAAACGAAATGTTTACTTAATTTGGCGTGGTAACGGTAAACCTCGTCACGGTTAATTAAGTAACCCAATGCGCCAAACAACAGAACACATTATGCATGCTCTTAGGTTATGCAAGAATGACGAAGTAAAGCAGAGCAGACTCACTAGCAAAAAAATTTGAAAATGTCAACCAACGTGAATTCTGGAAGCAAGTTAAAGAAAGTATTACGACAACTTTCACTAAACTACCAATCTACATTGCTGGGTACCACAGTCAACATAACATATGCAACATGTGGACAATCATTTTGAAGACTTACGTAAAAATGTCAAAAACAAATCCGGTAACAAGCGTGTTACTTCATCATTGAATATCCCTTCTGCTCATATTGACGTAATCACATTATCTGTGATCCAAAATGCAATAACAAGACAAAAAGGTGGTAAATGTCCAGGATCAGATTTTTTTTATATGTGGAACATTTTAAATATTCAAATACTAGACTTCATGGGCTATTAATTGTTTTATTTAATTGTATGTTTGTTCATAACTTTGTTCCAGATGATTTCACAAATGTTACAATTATACCACTACTAAAAAGCAAATTGATAATCTAGTGGACAAAAATAACTACAGACCTATAGTTCTTACGAGTGTTATCTGACAAAATGTTCGAATGTATCATAATACAATGAATCGAAGTCATAACCTCCGATAATCAGTCTGGATTTATGTCTATATACCTTTAAGGGAACCGTCAGGTATTATATGGAGCATGGCTGCCAAGTATTTGCATGTGTTTTTAGATGCTAGTAAGGCACTTGATAGGGTCAGTCATTAGACACTCTTTAAGAAGTTGCTGGAAAATAAAATACCTGTATACATTGTTCATACTTTAGTCAACTGGTATGGAAAACAATTGTAATACGTGGCATGAGGAAGTGTAATATCCAGCACTTTCCATGTAACCAATGGGGTGAGGCAGGGAGGTATTCTTTCCCCCTGTTATTTAATATTTACATAGACGAGTTAAATCGTATAGTGGGCCATTGTAACGTAGGGTTACGTCTGCCACCAACTGGGCTGTTTCTTAACAATTTTAGCTTTGCTCTGATGATAGGTCCTTCTGTCGCAGGTTTAAGAAAATGATTAAAGATATGTGAACAATATTCCTTAGAGAATGAAATCATCTATAATACATAAAAGTCAGCATGCATGGTCTTTTAGCCAACTTCTTTTACATTACCATTACCTCCCTCTGTACATCTTGACGGCAATGCTCTTACGTTTGTCGACAGTTACATTCATATGGGCCATATTTTGGAATCCAAATAGTGAGATAATGAAGATATGATGAGACATTATCGATATTTGTGTACTCGAACAAACACACTTCTACACAAATTTAAGCATTGTTCATTGAGTATCAAACTTATATCATTCAAATCTTATTGATGCACTATGTATTGTGCTCAACTATGGACAAACTTTAGTGAAAATTTGAAAAGAAAACTAGTAATTGGTTATAATAGTCTTCGCTTTCTATTAGTTATTCCTAGATGGAACAGTGCCTCCAACATGCTTGTAAATCATAATGTATTCCGTTTTGAGAAAGTAATGAGAAAGTATGTATTCTCAATGATAACAAGACTATCTAATAGTGAGAACTGTATATTGAAATTACTTTGGAATTATGACATTCGTTTAACCTCTCATATTATTATTAGATGGAACAAATTACTATTTAAATATGTCAATTAATTTAATTTTTGAACAATGCATGACGCAATTAATTGTTGTAAATGTATCTGTATACTTGCACATATTACATATATGCTCTTTTATAATTACAATATTTTACTCTATATCCGTATTTTAATTTAGACTTATTAGAAATGCATTCTAAAATAAAGAATTTCTATATCTTCTTTTCTTATATCTGGAAGACTGATTTTTCAAACACTACATATCAAGCAGATAATGGCAGCAGCATTAAGATCTTTATTTGTGTTTACCAATGGGACATTTACCAAATATGATGAAAGACTATTTATTTAAGAGGGTTTTTAAGTCTGAGACACCTAAAAGAGTGTCGCCAATACCAGGATATTTGTACTCTGCAAATCTCCAAGATGTTTACATATTTGAAAGAGTAATAAAGCGTTAATTAAACAGCCATATAAGTAGTATATGTTTCTGAAATCTTTAGGTTTCTTTCTTCTCGACATTCCCATGTAAATATAGAGAACTGGCATTTTGGTATATTCACGTGTGCAGAGGAAGATGGTTGATTGATTAAAGCAAAATTTCTGAAACCTCGTACATCAAATAAATCAGGTATTTCATATATGTGTGTCTGCTTAAATGACCGATTATGAGATAGTATGTAAAGTTTGCCACTTTAAAAAGTGTTGTAATGTAAGTAGTCATTCATATGTAAGACATTTGTAAGTTTGTTTCATCAATTTTAAATATTTAGATGGATTTTGTTTTAGACATCTAAGTGATTTGTTATTTAAAATTGACCATACAATACAAAATGCTTTCAACAGTTTCAACAAATCCTCATTCGATATATTGCTTTCTTTGGTGGGGTAAGTTTTAATGCATTCGTTTCCTTTCAAATTCAATATCAAGTTGTGTCTTTCATTTCATTGTTTTAAGACCAACCAAACATGTTATGAAGGTTCCACATCGAATGGTAGATCTTAACATTTTTATTTCATATATGTGTACTTTATAAAAAACAATACTGATGTCAATCCAACATGAGTCGTATTAAGGAGTTTAATTAGCTTAAAGCAAATATTCTTGCTAAAATGTCACAATCATGTATACCACAACACACATAAATGGAAATAAATTATTAAAATATAAATTATAAATCGCTTTTCATTAGTAACATTAATCAATTTATTTATTAATTAAATAAAAATTGTGTATCCAAGAGCTTTTGGTTAGGCAAAATAGGTGATTATATATATATATATATATATATATATATATATATATATATATATATATATATATATATATATATATATATATATATATATATATATATATATATATATATATATTGGAAGAAGACAAAATGAAGGAAATGTAGAAGTGAAGGGATAATAATTAGTGTTGTCCGCTGTTTAGTACTGTTAGAGAGTGAAAACGAATGTGCACACTTCATTGTTACTAACATTTGTACCAAAATGTTTTATCTGCCGTGCAAAGATTACTGTCAAATGAAAGTGTGGTATGCATTCAGAACTATTTTGATGAATGTTTTCTTTTTATAGTCCAAAAGTATGGGAAGGTTTAGCTATGGAATTGCACCAAAACATGCATTATGTCAGTGACCTACGTACGTCTTCTCCAGCTTAAAAATACTGTAGCACAAATGTTATATAATGTCATGCATACTATATTGTCCCATATTTGTATTTAACAATTTGCAAAGTTTTTAAAAAATATCATTTGCAAATCAAAATTTGCTATATATTAATTTGTTTTTGCATAGTACGTATTTTCATTTTTCACTAAGAGTTTAAAGATACTACTACTGCAACTTCCATCTCCAACGGTATTTGACGTTCGCTGCTTTTTCGAGTCGCTATAAACAGCATGTTATTGGTCAATATTTATCCATTGTTACGGGCTTGCTATTAATACATGAGTTTCTTCGTTCATAAAATTGCTCTCGTTTATGAATAAAAGGCATACAAGCAATCTGTTGAGCATGCCGGCAAACAAGAAATGTTTTTTTAAGGCACCAATGAAATTTCAGAAATTAAATGTAATGTAACTGTCTGAGAGAAGTTGTTGATTTCTTCCTCTATTATGTGTTGATAAACATTTCAGATATATTAGCATAGTAGCCACAATGCCATGACAGGAGCACATGATTTGTACCGCATTTAGAAGGGTATTAAGTCAAAGTGGATATTTTACCGTCTTTTGCAATTCCTACAAAACTTTTTTAATGCCAGTAGGTATTGATGGACTTGAGGGCACATATATTATTTTACAGGTGTCTAAGAAAATTATTTTAAAGCATACAATCCTCGAGTGACTATATCGTTTGAAATCAGTGCTAATTTACGAGAACCAGATTTTAATATATTTCCTAAAATATTAATATGATGCAGAGAGTGATACACCTGATGCTGTAGAGAATGATATTAGAAACTGTAATTTCAGTGTGACACTTCCTTAAGAGATTATAATATTTGGTCCACAGTGTCATTTCGTACTAATAGTGGCATCATCACAATAAGATCACCTGAGAAGACGAGTTTGATGTTCTACACATCTTTGGTTAACACGATGCGCGATTCCTACATTGTCACACAAATCTATGGTAGAACCATTTTTGAAAGGGATGACTCGTTGCAACGGAGAGGATTTAATTTCTACGACTGTGTATAAGACGTAACCAGAGTACACACTCTTTAATTTTGTGTGGCTTTAGTAATATCATTATCAAATAAAATATCAACCATACTATCAATAAATGACATCACATCATCTGCTCATCCCGCTATTCTCATATCAGTTTCAACCTTGAATAACCATAATGATTCATATTTCAGCGATGTATGATAAGCCACCTTTTTAATGCAATCGCTTATTATATTAGATTTTATACCAGTATATGCTGACGCAGCTTTGATCGAATAAAATCTTTTACAAAATCTATTTGTTAGATCAAATCCAACATGTCTGATTGGATGATAGAATGACATTATATATATATAATATACTATTTGTCTAATATAACATTTTTAACCAATAAGTACTTAGTAGTAGTGAGAATTGATATATCCTTTCTCAGAGACCCCCGACCCCGTAACATATTTTTGTCAGAAAATGTGCTATCGTTTTGAGCTAACAATGGTTGCTGACAACAATGTTAACGTAAAACGTTTTAGGAGGGCCGGGGATGTTTCTGAGAAAGAAGCATCAATTCCTCAATACAATTCGGTGGCCTAGTGGTTAGAGCGTCCGCCTGGGATGAGGAAAGTAGTGGGTTCGATCCCTGGCTGAGTAATTTGAAAAGAATTACAAAAATGGCACTAACAGCTCCCTATTTCTGCGCTCAGCGTTTAGAGGTTAGTGTTAGGACTGGGTGGTCTAGTGTCAGGATAATGTGACTGGGCGGGACGTCATGTTGCATGTCTGCGGCTTGATGACCCAGTGCTACTCATAACTATAAATTGCCATACTGCACACATCGTAGCGATACAACTGAGAAATTTTTCAAAGCTACATCACACACACACAAACACACACACACACACTAAATCACACACATTTTTATAAAAATAAACTTAAGGTCTTTGATAGTTTTTATAATAGCTTTTTAAAAAAAAAAAGAATATTTACATATATTGAAACACATGCATATCTCTATGGAAATATAATTAGTAAGAGACTTTGTTTTAGTGTTATTGACTTTTTTTCAACCTCTGTAGAAACCTTTATTTTTCGTTAAGGATTCGAGCAAACTTTTGTAGGGTTCACCCTGCCTGCTGCTTATACATTAAATAAAAATGTCGGAAATAAACGAAATGATGAATTCCTTATTCTTCACTGTAAGGGTCTTGGGCTATGTGATAGCGCATAACAGCCCAGTGCGTCCCAATGAAGAGAACTCAGCTCCCTTTCCTTTCGTATGATATAGCTAATAAAAGTGTTTAGAAACACACAATATGTAAAATGAAGAAAATACAATATGAAAAACTTGATACAACTTATATATTATTGCTTTTTTCAAACATATTTTAAGAACAAATAAATCAATAAATACTTTTGTCCAAATTATTGCCTTAATATATTTTTGCAGAGTAGTTATCAATAAAAATAAAGAAATACAGCCTACGAGGAATGGAAACAATAATTGAAGCACCAATATTATATAATGCTTGCTGATCAAATATATGTTAATAATGATAATAATAACAACAACAAAAAGAATAATAATAATAATAATAATAATAATAATAATAATAATAATAATAATAATAATAATAATAATAATAATAATAATAATAATAATAATAATAATAATAATAATAATAATGTGATTTTGATTTTTAACGTAGCTTTAAAAATCTTCAGTTATGTTATATTAATAATAATAATAATAACAAAAACAACAACAACAGCAATAATAATAAAAATAATAATAAAAAATATAATAATAATAATAATAATAATAATAATAATAATAATAATAATAATAATAATAATAATAATAATAATAATAATAATAATAATAATAATAAAAATTATTCAAAAAAGGGTCTAATGACCCATGGTTGATCAAAATTACCCACACTTATACCACGTGTGATCAGAAAATGCTTAATCGATGCATTTGGAAATTGCTTCATGTACTCAAATTGTACTCAGGATTTTACAAAAGTTTTAAAAAAAAAAAATTTACAAATTCATAAATAAAAAAGGATTTTAAAGCTAAAAAAATAAAACACTTTGAAGGTAAATGAAACTTTTGGTTGAGTTAAAAATTTACACTTAAAATCCTCAGGGTAAACACAAAGAATTTTTTTACCATACACTACAAAAGGGTTAAAGTATTTGCATTGAATTTTTTACACACAAATATTTGCCACATCAAAGGTTAATATTATGAAAACCTTTTACAGTACTATTTATCAGCCAAACATGATTTTTGAAAACCAGTACATGTTAAAACATCAAAAAAATACAGACAACATAAAAATTACTCCCTGTTTAACCAACTCTCAGAATGTTTTACAGGGCCTCAGGGGGAGTCTCTGTTATTGTGAACAATAGAGCCCCTCATAAGGTCATTCCTCTAAACACAAATTTACAAATGCCATTGCTGTAAGCGTCACTAATCAGCGATTAAGTTTATGATTACATTTTTTTTTTACTTACCACCAAAATTACTAACCTAGTCCCAAACGAATTAGATACCCTTGTGCAACAACTTCCTGCACCATTTGTTTTACTCGGATTTTTAATGCCCATAATATTTCTATTGGGGATCAAATCATTGCAGTGATAGATGTCACAAAATTGAAGACTTTATTTCTAGACATATTTCTGTCAAATCTAAAATACCAAAATACATACATACATACCTACACCCAGGCACGGGTACATACACATGCATCATTTGACAATTTGTTCTCCCTCGCTGCTTTTAAATATGAATGGAATGTCACAGGCATGATATGATCGATTTACAAATCATTCCTCGCTGCTTTTGATCACTATGAATGACAAGTCGCTGATGATCTTTAGCGATCATTTCCCAACTTGTAAATCTTAACTCTACAATTGATGAAGTAATTCCACAATGGAATTTAAAGAAGACTGGGTCAAGTTCGAAATTCTCTGCAAAACTATAGCTGAATGAGGACACAGTTTTCAATGTTAGCGATCCCATTCAGCTTTTTACATCTATTCTAATAGCAATTGCAAAGACTCTATTTCCAAGTCCTCTACCAACTGTAAAAGAATCTGTTAAAAAACTTGGGTCACTAAGGAATGTACGGAAGCCATTAGACTACGTCGAAAAGCATTAACAAATTTAATAATCATCCGACGCCCGAAAACTTAATATATATATCGCATTGCCAGAGCCAAAGCTCGTCGCACAATCAGGGAAAGTAAACGAGCATCATGGAAGAAATTTGATTCTGTTTTTCTTTTAAACTCTCGTTCCTCTGTTCAGAAAATTTGTATATTGCAAATACTCTTGCTGACAGTTTCTCCAAAAATTCATCATCATCTAATTATACCGAAGCCTTCCAAAAACTTAAAGCTCAAAAAGAAAAGTCACGTTTAAAATTCACATCCAAGAACTCGGAAAATTATAATCAGTTGTTCTCATTATCGGAGCTTAGGGAGGCTTTAGATAAGGCCCATGATACATCCACTGGGCCTGATGAAATACATTACCAGTTTTTGAAACACCTTCCAGAATCATCATTAAAAAACTCTTTTGAAACTCTTCAATGATGTATGGATTATTGGTAATGTACCCAAAAACTGGAAAGAAGCAACTGTAATACCAGTTCCCAAACCCGGTAAAGATAGCGAAGACCCCAACAGCTACTACCGACCAATTGCACTGACAAGCTGTGTGTGCAAAACAATGGAACGAATGATCAATTCTCGACTACTCTGGTACTTAGAAGCTAACAATTTAATATCTCCTTTCCAAAGTGGCTTTCGATATGGACGGAGTACTAATGATCATCTAGTTTCGTGATACCTTTATCAAAAAAGAACATTTAGTAGCGGTATTTTTTTTTTTTTTTTTAGAAAAGGCCTATGACACAACATGGAAGTACGGGATACTAAAAGACCTGCACGATCTGGGTCTCAAAGGCCGTCTGCCCTCATTTATCTCTAATTTTCTCTCTGACAGGGAATTCAAAGTTCGAGTGGGCTCTACCCTCTCCGATACACACCAGCAAGAGATGGGTGTGCCCCAGGGCAGTATTTTATCTGTGACGCTTTTTAACATCAAAATCAATAGTATCACCAAATGCTTAGCTCCCGGTGTTGACTGCTCATTATATGTTGACGATTTTTTAATTTGTTATCGCTCAAAAAACATGCATACAATTGAGAGGCAACTCCAGCAAAAAATATCAATAAGATTCAAAGTTGGGCCAGTAATAACGGTTTCAAATTTTCAAAATCAAAAACAGTATGCATGCATTTTTGTCAGTTGCGAAGACATCATGATAACCCTAAACTCACGCTGGATGGAACACTTATTCCAGTTGTTGAGGAAACAAAATTTTTTGGGTGTTCTATTTGACAAAAAGCTGACATTCATACCACACATTAAGAATTTGAAAGCTAAATGCTTAAAAGCCTTAAATTTGATTAAAGTAATTGCTCACACTGATTGGGGTGCTGATAAAAAAAGTCCTCCTTAATTTGTATAGAACATTTATCCGTTCCATATGGTCGTCACTCAAAATAGTGGTTTAATATACAAATTATGCTAAGGAGATTTTTTTCCTTCTTGCTCTTCTCTCTCTCTTTCTCTCTCTTGCTATCTACCTCTCTACCTCTCTCATGCACACACACATACAGAAACACACATGCATACACTATACAATAACACTAATACGTAACTCCAAATACATATTAGTTGGTACGTAGAATGTCCATTGGTACATTGTTATAATGAAGATGGTTTAGATTATTTGAATTGTCGAGATTTTACCATGACAGTGAAGAAATCTTAATGCTTTTTTTATTGCAGAAAAAAAAATACAATTAACACAATGATCATTGCTAGACTAATTTCACAATATTACTAGAATAAGTTGATTGTATCGATTAATTAATTTCCGGGACACCATTCTTAACAGTAAATCTAATAAGCTGTCGAAGCCTGTTGACTCAGGATTGTTGAGGACTAAGATCTTAGCCACGTAGACGAAGCATTCCAGCTCTTATTCAAAAAAAAGAAAAAGAGATATAATCGTCTTCCTCCTGTACGCTTACTAATACAATGTTATTCACAAAATAGTTAATGTACTTAAAGTTACTGTGTTGCATTAAATACATTAATACCCATGTCAAATTTCTGAATTGTTCTGCGAAATATATAGCTAGCATAAAACGATGGTAAACTATTATTACAAGCTAATAGAAGCCCGGTTTCATTCATAAGCAAACCGATTCATTTGTTAAAGGCCAAATAAGGTACATTACCGCTTTTAGCTCAGCCTTATAAACATTTTCAGAACTTCAAAGTGAAAGTTAGACTCTTCACTGATTATCCACTTATGTTATGTCAAAAGAACTTCACATGTATGCTTATCAGTTTCTCCTCCAACCATTTAAATATACTTGAACACAGCTGCTCTATGGTGCGTTGCTACGGGTCGCCTGGATATATAAAGGTGGCAGGTTACAGTTTCGTAATTTTTGCCCCGGGTCAAATTTCTTAACTTAAGGCTATGATGTCACTTTTTCAGCAATTATTGCCTAATAATTAAAGATATGGAAATATGTTTGAACTATGTGTTT